TACGAACCATCGATGCCATCAGATGATGAGTTAGATCCTGAATCGGGGAAGCCAGGTGGGATACCTGTAGGCATCACAGACGATGAAGGTGTGCCTGAGTGTGATCCTGAATCGGGGAGGCCAGGCAGGATGCCCGTAGAAGTGACGGACGATGAAGGTATGCCCAAGGGTGATGAAGGTATGCCCGAGGGTGACGACGCTGGATTCTTTGATAAGGAGGCAGTTGATGCAGTTCCCAAGGTGTGCCGAGTTTGCCTAGACGAGGCTGATGATAACACTAGGTATTGGAAGCAGTTCTACGCTGACAAAATAGATGCGGCGCTTGGTATTTGTTGAAACGCTTCCGAGGCGTACCAAGGAGGAGGTTTCGGCTGCATTACACCGAACTCTGACGAAACTGCAACAGTGGCATTTTCCAGTCTTGCGGTTGCACACGGACAGGGGAGGAGAGTGGATGAACAGGATGGTTAGGAATGTGGCTGACAGCCATAACCTCGTTCATACTTGCACGGAGGGGCATGATCCTTCAAGCAATGGACGAGCAGAATCGGCCGTAGGGTTGATTAAAGCTGCTATTCGTTCTCGTCTTTCCACTCCTCCAGGATTTGGCTCTTGTTATTGGTCGCTTGCTGCATTGGATGCCGGAGAGGGCTTCCTGCGCTTAGAGCTTGCGAAATTTGACAAGTCAGTCAGATCTTTGATTCCTTGGGCCACGCAGGTGTGTGTGCGCGAGAAGAAGAATGAAGAGAATCATTGGTCCAGTCGGTTTGTCAATGGTTTCGTCGTGGGCCCTTCCAGTTACACCCGGAAGGGTTCTACCATCGCTTTGGAGCCTCTTGATGATCCGAAACTACTGGTGTCTACAACTACCAGGTTGAATCGGCCGTTTAACGCTCTTTCCATTACACTTCCAGGCGAGGTTTGGCGGGTTGATCCAGATCGTCGGGTTCGAGGCAAGACTAGTCTGCTTACCCCGGGAGATACGGACGCCGCTTTAGAAGACTTAGCCGTGGTTGGGGGAGAGGTTGCACGTGTGTCGGAGCCCGGACATGATCAAGTACATGAGGCACCAGGCGCAACGGTTGTCCAGGCAGCGGCGGATGTCCTTGATGATGGGGATTTGTTTTCTGATCTTTTTGCTCCTTTGGCATTGCGCAGAATCCGTGGGAAAGACCAGGGTTTTGCTGTTGAGGTGTCTGAGGGGGTAGCCAAAACCATGCTGGAAAAGCATCAGTTGGAGACGCTTGAAGTTGCAAGCGTTGTCTATGCATCTCTGAGCAGCACGGCTAAGAAGGGTAACCGAAACATTGATTCTGATGCGCTGGGCAATGCTATATGTCATGGGCCGTATCCTTCGGGGCTTACTGCCGAGGATCGCAGGTTGGCCTTATCACGGCTACTAAGGTGCGTCCTATGTTGCTTAGGCTGCTCTATCGCTTGGTTGCTAGCTTCGAGGCCGCGCATGAGTATACAGCCCTGCGGATTTCGTTCAATGCAGTGGCTGACTTGCATGGAGATGTTCATAATCAGCATGGTTACAGAAACATTATCGTATGTCTTTCGGAGTTTGCTGCGGGCAGAGTCATTACACTCGATGGGCCATTGGAGTACAGCGGTGGAAAGGCCTATGTCGATCCGC